GAAAGGCTGGAGAGAGAATCAGACAAGCTATAAATTCAAGCAGAGGATATGAATACCATGCAAGCTGCAGTGTTAGGGTTAACGTGGGTCTGGAAACAGTTTAGTGAAAACCTGGCGTGGCTAGGGGCCAGCTCCAAGTTTAGTTGCTTTGGGCTAATCGTTTCCTTCAGGCAGGCTACTCTAGCACACTAATAGGTTTTAATAAAAACTTCCAATTGGGCCAGTAAACCCCTCATTAAGCTGTTTTTAAAGCATGAATTTAAGAGCGGCGAGGGTAAAAGGTCATGAGGAGTATTTAATTCACAACGGCTGGCAAAAGGTGCTGTTGTGATTGAAAACACCAGAGTTCAAGTGTCCAGGGCCACATAAACATCCGACTCTGTCACTAGACCTGGTTAAGTGACAGCTTGAAAAATAGATTTAATAAGACAGAGAGAAAAGTTTCCCACTCTTACACGAGAAATAGGAACAGCAGATCACAATATTAGCCAGGAACAGGAACAGTCCGTAAGCAGCCCCGTCCCTCCCATCTCGGCGTGGGGGGAGGATGAATAAATAGCAGTCTATGGCCATCTGGGTGTTCAACCCCGCAGCGATTCCCAGGGGCTTGCTGGGACGCTCGCGCTGCAGCCTCACCGTCTCCTGCTGTGAACAGAACAAAGTTCCTTGGGAATAACATGGGCCAACCCGTCCTCCACGTCCTGCTGCCAGTGTCCCTCCCACATGCCTTCTGTACAGCGAGCTGCCGGAGTAACAAGTGCCACCGGGTGCTAGCATGATACTTATGTGCTGCCATGCGGAAAAGCAAACCTCTGCTAGTGAATTCTCTTGCGCTTGGGCAACCTCACACCCACCACACAGACACTGCAGAGAGGCCTGCAGGAATCAACGGATTAGCTCAGGGCACAGTTCAGCCCAGACACATCCCCATCTCAGTACACTTTTAAACTAAGCTTTGGACCTGCACTAGTGAGGTTTGACCTTAGTTTTTTCAACTTACTCTCATTTTCTCCCGTGACTGCAGCGCTGCTCACTAGTATAGCGCAAGTAATATGAAAACTTTGCCCCTTCCTTGGAAACATGCACTCACAAAGGAGAAACATCTCCATCTTGTACAGCAAAAGCCAGAACCCCAGCTGTGCACTCCAACATTTCTTTTTATGTCAATGCACATCTAAAATTCAAGATCCCTGAAGACCTTTTAAAAGAAAAAACCTCCTTGGAACAATTTGCATTGAAGTAAAGAGTGAGGATTTAACAAGTAATGGAGAATTACGTACACTCGGCTCTCAACTTTTTATTCTACTTCTAATCAAAACACACTTCATCTTAAATTCTGAGATAATAGATGCAATATAAAATTTGGAGGCAGGCATGGGTATGAACAAATTATTTGCTTATTCCATGTTTACAGATAATGGAAAAAAACTAGAAGTTTAATTCACCCTTCAGTGATCGTCTTCTCTCCATACCAAAATTAACAAGAAAGTTTACTGTAAGAGAAAAAAAAAGCTCTTACTTTTAAAATATGCTTCTAATTCTAGCCATACAGTTGGCCTGCAAAGAGTGCAGAAGCAAGGCTCTCTGGAACGATCCCCAAGGAAACATTTGCTTTGGCTCCAAATAGGACACTTTTGTGCATCAAGAGTCAAATAAGATCAGCTGCTTCTCAATCCTTTCTGTTTAATGATCCCGTTGATAGCCAAAAGGTAAACAGATGCATTTCTGTCTTTTCTGCATGTTCCTTGCTGGGAATCCAGATTGCTGCTCCAAGAGGTATCCAACAGCTATGGAGGCCACAATGTGGAGTCAGAATCTCCCTGGACAGTTGCATCATTTTCCCACACCACACCTGGATTTTTACTCTACAGAGAGACGTGGCTGTCCATTACAACTCACGCGATCTTTGCAGCCTTTGTGCAGCTCTGCTTAGCTCTCCACTGTTGTCTCCTTCGACCAGTATCTCAGGACACACACTGGGCCGTCAAACTGTCTTCTGAATATCTGGGGCTACTTAACACAATAAGGCAGAACAGAAGAAAGAGGAGAAGAAAGCCTGTAGAAGAGCATCATCTTTTTCAAAGCCTCTGTTAGAACAGAGATAATAAATCACTATATTAAATCAGGCTTCCACTGAAAAAAAAAGTCCTTGGGGGTATCTCAGACAGAAGCATCATCAGGAACTACTGCTCTAGGAGAGCACACCCTTGCTCAGAAAGGGTCAGAAACAGCAAAGCTGTCAACACCACAAATCTGTTGAAGCAGCTTTGGTCTCATTCTAAGCCAGGAGAAAAGATGTCCTTAATTTTAAAGAAGGATAAAATAACAAGTTGACCTTGCTGGTTCTTTCTAGTCCCAGCACCACAGCTGCAACCTTCAGAGAGGGGGAGACCTGCCATTCCTGGAGCTGAGCCAGGACCAAGGGTGCTGAGCGAGGCCAGCTGGCTCGTGGTGGCACGCACAGGTCATGAAGGCACCTAGAAAGGGGCTTGAACAGAGAGGGCCACGGAGGCAAGCCCTTGGTACACCAAAGCTCAAGGAGGAGATTTAGGCTGAGGATGAAGTTGCCACAGAAGCTGAGCTCTCCAGGAGCAGCCTGGCTGCTGGCCCTGCAGGTGTGCTCCACCGAGGGCAGGCAGCACATCCATCCATCCATCCATCCCTCCCTCCCTCCCTCCCTGAGACTCCCGGCAGCCTCAGCTCAGCTCAGCAGGACCAAAGCAATCCAGCATACTCCAGCCAACGAGCAGTCCCACCAGAGTACAGTCCACGCTCAACAACCAGAGCACTGCACTGCCAAAAGCAGGGAAGAAAAGGGGCCATCAAGTCGGGCGCTCCCGTCTGCTGGCAGGGAGCCTCGCATGCCTGAGCTGTGCCTATCCACGGGGAGGGACCCGATGTAAAACTGCCGTGTGCTCACTGAAACACGCCACGCTACATCTAAAGCCAAATTTATACCTGAATAACAATAAATAAAGCTGAGAAGTTATTACAGCTCGGCTAATTTCAGAACAGCGCTAACCCCCGGGCTGACACCTACTCCAGGATTTGCATTGCGGAGCACCTCTTCACCTTTCAAAGATAAATAATCCAGCGTGGCCGGTGCTTTGCACTGTGAAAGCCCTTGCACGGCTGTTTCACAGTTCATTCCCTGAAGTGAGGAGTGTTTTTAATAACTGTTACCTGACAGGAGTAAGAGCAAAGAGCAAAACCTGTGGCAATACCAGTTGATCCCATTTGGCCTAACAGCTTGTTGTTATTTCCAGGCTCTGGAGCTCTTTAAAATTCATAGGGACAGCCTGCAGTTTTAATAGAGGCTACCAAAATCCATCCTAAGATGTATCAAAAAAAGCACACTTCCTGGAGGGGAATAGGAAACAGTCAGCATTTACAAAGATCTCTCCAGGAATTTTTTTTTTTTTTTTAATTATTTTTTTTTTTTTTTTTTTAAGATCTTGCTTTGAAGTAGATGCTACCAAAGAATAAGGCTTCCAGAGCTCAGCAATATTTAATGCACTTCTCCAGCAATGGATGACAATGTTGTTGTTTCAGCTATATTATAACAAAAATATTGTGGTTTTCCTGTATTCTAACAAAAGTAACTCAAGATTTACATCTCATTCATCTTACTCAGAAGTAGCCCTTAAGCCAAAAACAAGGAAGGGAGAGACCCTACTGCGTACAAAGGACTTCAGTAATCCTCATAGGGTGGCTATCCAGTCGGGACATAAAGAAAGGCCAAAGAAAGATAAAACACCACTGGCAAAAAGAGTTTTTCTACAACCATCAGTGAGAGTGGAAAACATGTACAGAAGATGAGTAACTTGAGTTAAAACTAAGATGGGTGTCCTCACTAACCCAACAAAAGTCTGGATTCGTATTGTAAAGTCCAGCTGGTTAAAATATCCACATCCAATGTGAAAGCATTCTCTAAACCACACAGGAGCGGAAACGATTCTCCAAACTCCTCTGCTTCTCCACTTGGTGAAGCACCATCTCAATGATCCCACATACACTAAAACAGTTTGTTCACTTACAACTGATTAAAACGATCAATTGGTAAACAAGGAGACGGATGCAATTCCCTGAAGGAGAAGGGGGAGGCATACTCTGTCATTACTTTTGCAAGCCTCCATAACACACAGACACCAATGGACTTTAACTATTCTTGTGCCTTATATTAGAGTAACCAAATTTCTTGGGATTGGTTAGTGACAACTTGGGAATACGAATCCCCTTTTCATACACACAATGATGAAGCATCCTTCTCCACCCACCCATCCAACAGCATGAGCGCCAGGCTGAAAGAAGACACGGCCAAATAGGCTGTTTTAAGACATTATGCCATGGCGGTACGTCCCAGAAAATCAGAAGTACACTCGCAGTTTTCCTAATATTTCCACAGAGAGAAACAGGTTTTCTACCGGGATTTCTAACTTTCTGTTTAGACTCCAGCTGTGGGTTGGAGTACTTAATGCTGAAAAAACCCCAACCTGTGCAAAGCACGAATCAACCTTCCAGATCTCCAAGGGACTAATATCTGCACCACACACCAGTGGGAAAGCAGATGATATGAATAAAGGTTCTTGATGTTCGGACAAATCACCAGTGGAGAAGGAATTGGAATTTAGGAGGAACATGTTCCCTCCTAGGGGATGTCCTTCAGACCTCGCTTTGCTTGGTTGCCTCAGGTTTATTTAACTATTCGTCTTTAATGTCACCCTCCAAATGATGCTGTTGGTACTTATACAATCCTTACACCAAGCCTCCTTCAATCTCAATTTACGGCATTTACACCAGTTTTCCTTTCCTTAAGGGCATACGGGCAGAAAGAAATTCAGTGAAAGGCAGAGAATAGAGGCAGAGAAAGAGACAATCATAATTTAAACATTTGACAGAGAGAGATAGAGAAAGCAAGCTAGAATAATGTAAAAGCTACATACCCACAAATGCACCAATAAATTATAACTGCAGTTTTTTTCTCATTTTTATTCACTTACCAAAGGAATACCTGCAAAACAAAATGAAGAAAAAGCAAAAAAATTAAAATCTCGGTTGATCAGTTGTAGGAACCTATGTCTCATATCAGTTCTATTTCAAACTTCACACATTTTGAGTTTCAAAACACATCTGTCAAGGAGTACGGAAACACGCCTGAACCATGTAATATGCAACTCAAAGGCACTAAATGGTAAATTGCTGCTATCTGGAAATGCAAGAAGAGCAAATCCCCTCATTTCTGGGCTGTTATTTAGCACTCCAAGCAATTGGCCACCCTTCTTCCAATAAAGGTGCTAAAGGAGCATACCCAGAGGAGACAGCAGAGTCCCAAGTCACAACAGATACTGGGCTTCACAAAGGGCTGCTCCTCACCTTCTCTCTGACTTGGGAAACTCCTCTGAGCGAGCAATCTAGTTGATAGCGCAGCTTAACCAGGTTCCACTGCAAGATTATTCATTTACGGTTTCCAAAGCATGCTAAGCACTTCCCAGGCAGAAGGCAACAACTGAAGCTGTTAAAAACACAAAGCTTAATGCATACTTCTGCGCTGATGAAGCCCACGCTGCTGAAAAGCAAGAAGTTACTTCTCGCTGGTGAACTATTCATTGGGTTTTTTCCCTTTTGAACACAGAAAAGTCTAGCACCATGCCATCTGCTAGTTGAGTGCTGTGTACTAGATGCTCACCAATCCTCAGCGTCTCAGGAAAAGTCATACACGCTTACTGTATCATTTTCATGTGACTTTTCACCACACTCTGGTGCATCACTTAACTTGCTTTTTCACCTGGTCTTCTCATTGAAATTACAGTTAGCCTTAGCTACAACATAGTGATTTTCTGCAAGATTACCAGTTCTGATTAAAAGTAAAACCCAAAGGTTAACAAGTTTTAAGATGCTGTTCTTCAACAGACAGCTTGTGTTTACTCCCATTATGGCTTCAATCCCACATCAGGGCTTTATTATTTGTATCTGCAGCATATTGCATTACACTAAACAAAAAACCAAACCAAACCAAAACACACCGCAGACCCCTAAAACAAAAAAACACCCCAGGCTTTTAAAGCTTTCCAGAAAGATTTGCTCTTACTGAAAATGTCCTGAATAGGTGTGCAAATTTTATACTCGCACATGTGTAGTTCAAATAGTTCTAAAATCCATCAATCCAAGTATCTTACTACATATTTAACAACAATTTCATACAGGGCTACTGATGTATAGAGCGCGATAACTTTAAAATGCACAATAAGTTTTAACCTTCTTAATAAAAGCGGCTCTTTATAGAGCTATCTGTCATTAAGGGCAACCTAACTTTGCTATTCTCCACCACAGTTGTGGTGCAGTTAAACATAAACTTGTACGAATTATTCTTATTTCTTGGCAGAAGTTAAGAACCCCCTGAGGCTCATTTAAAACACACACACAGAGACACACATAAAATGAGGAATTAATAAAATATTGTATTCTTCTGAACCACATTAAGTTTTCTGACGTGTGTCTGTTGCTGATTACATCAATCTAGGCTCCATAACTTGTCATGTGATGACAGGCAAACACTTGTGAATTTATTTCTCAGAAGAAGCCTGCAATACAAATGCCAAGGAAACCAAACCAAATGGCCCACTCCAAATACATAAAAGCAGCAGGGCTTCTTGCAGGGATTTTTTTTTTTTTTTTAATAGGTACAAACAGGCAGGTACCCAATTCCCACAGACTTGAGGTTGTAGTTTGGAACCTAATTACCATTTTTCCTTTTCAAGGTCCTCTTCCTTGCTTATACGGAGTAAACAGAAGTGTTTATTTAAAAAAAAAATTGATTTTTTTTTTCCTACTGCTTGCCTTGGCATTTGAAACATTACCAACAGATAACGACGAGTAAAAACATGGATTTGATTTTGTGGGTTTGGGGTTTTTTTGGCAAATTTCAACAGAGTAACTTTTGATCTGCACATTGTCAAAACCAGAAATTTTGCAAATTCAAAGTATATTCCATTCAGATTTTCTAAATCAAATTAAAACGTGATGTCATTTCTGTTTTCTGGTTGAAGAAACAATGTAATTAGCCATGACTTGTCATTAGAGGCAAACTTCATGTCACACTTAGAAAGGCTCTAAGTATCAGTTGGGAATCATAAAGATCATCAACTATTTGGGTTAAATTGTTTTCACCACATTGCCATGCTGATTAATTCTAGCTCAAGTATATTCCTGGAAAGCAAAAATGGATAACAAAACATAGTTTAAACTACATTAAACTACATCACTCCTGATGAAAATACTTTCCGCTGTCAGTGCCTGTGGTGGAGGCAGTGTGGAGCCGAGCTGAGTTTGAAGACACGGCTCTGCAAGAGCTTCCCACATCTCCAAACCACGCATGGGCACCACTGCGCAAACAAACAGGCAGCTCCCAAACCAACCCGGCAGAAAACACCACCTTTTCTGAATAACATCTTTTTTTTCTGCACGCTTTGCATGCAGGATGATGGTTTCTATTTGCTCAAGGAGGAGGAAAAGCAGATCGGCCAGACCTGCCCAACAAATTTACACTCCTCCTCTGCTCACCTACCCCATAGCTACACAGCTTCCGTAATGCAAGAGTTGTCTGGGACAGGAACTCCTCTTATAAGTCTGTAAAACATGACAAAATTCTAAATAGAGTCTATTAAGAAATAGTATTAGAATATAGACAGGAACTCTTATCTTTACATCCACTGATGCTTCCTAAGAAAATACATCTGTATTTACAATCCAAAAAAAGAAAAAAAAACCAGTCCTACCCACCATTCACATCCCAGCACTGCCCAACACCACAAGGTCCTTCCAACTAAACTGATTTCCACAGGCAGGATAATTCCCTGCTGCATCCCTAATCGGCAGCTGGTGTTAACAGCTTCTCTCACTGCTCTCCATGGAGAACATCCTCTACGGAAAGTGAACCCAGATGTCAACTTTCATCTGCATTATGAATCTCTCTTTTTCTCTGAGCTGTATAACTTGGGATGGGGGAAAACGTATTTGGGTAGTACAGACACATTTTCTATTCTCCATCAGGATGCGGCTCCAAATTCTGCTGTAACGAGGTTTCCACAGCAGCACCTCTCCACAATGGAAACCGGGTAGAAGCTACACTATGAGGTATTCCTTCCCTGTGAAGGATGGAAACGTGACATATTAACTGCCCCGGACTTCCCTCCGGTACCCAGCCAGGGAGAGGAGGAAACAGGGGACCATGTCCCCCGGAGATAGCAGCAGCCTCAGACCGCAGCGGGCAAGCAAATGGACACACAACTGGCAGAGAGAAGAGCTTCCTTCCAAAATTTCAGTAACAGGGAAAGCTGGATGAGCCTCCTGCCATAAATCCAGGCATTGCATTAGGGGAGAAAAAAAGGGCTAAGCCATGCAAGTATAGAAAATGTGGAAAATCCACCTGCCCCAAGACAGGACGGACTGTGTGAGAATCACCTCTGACAGACACCTGTCTAAGCAGCGACGGAGACTCCACCTCCCTCTCCAGGTATTCAGCCCAGTGTTCCTCCATATGTACATTTAGAAGGCTTCTCCTTACGTCTAACCTATATCTTCCTTTCCACCATGTAAACCAATAGCTTCTTGTCCTGTCCACGTGGAGACAGCGAACACAGAGAAGAGCTAATTTCCATCCTCTCTGCTGCTTTCATGCACTTGAAGGATCTTTGTCTCCTTTCCCAGTTTTCCTTTCTCTCAACTAATCAAACTCAGCTCCTTCAACTTTTCACTACAACAGGCCACTTTCTTCTCCACTGCCGAGGCTCGTGCCTCTTCTCTGCCCAGCGTGGGGCTGTAGCCACTTCCAGCACAATGTGACAACCAGAGACGAGATGCTGGCTGACACCTCCCAGCTCCAAGAAGTGAAAAACCTCATCCACTGCTGTCTTGCACATGACGCTCCTAAAAGTTACTGGTTTATGTGCCTGAAAGCTTGTTTGGTGAACCACAATATACCAACCAAATTAAAGCTGTAAACACTTGAGGACAAAAGAACATCTTTTCAATGTATATATACGTACAGTACCTGGCACCTGGGGATCCACTTCCTCAGCACACTGCCTCAAAACAAAGAAGCCAGTTGGCAAACATCACTTGCAAGAGACCGAGAGTCCATCAAAATGAGATGACAGAATTAGTCTAGTGCACCATTAATTTCAGAACATCATTAACTTAAAAGTGTGGGGGTAAGAAACATTTTTGACAGCTGGTTTCAGTTGCTGCCAAGCCTTTAGTATTGCACAGCGGTCGTGGGGGGAGGAAATAAGCTGGAATGGTAGTAAATGAAACCACTCGTCTGGTTTCTGAATTCACTTTATTGTGGTCACAGATCTCTAAAAACTGGGATTCTGCGCTCTGTAATTACAACATCTACATTTAAATGGAAGGAACAGGGATAACATTAAAAAAAGAGTGCTCGAGGATGAGGTTTATTCCTCGGTTTGCACATGGTGCTGGGAAAGGTGCCTGAGCAGAGCTGGAGCCAACCAGCAGATGAGGAACGGGATGGCCGCCCTCCTGGAGCCACGCCGGGTGCTCACACCCGCGCCCATCCCGCGCAGCCATGGTGCGGTCGGGCACTGCCGCACGGCTCCCCCCGCGGCCGAGCAAGCGGCAGCTCCCAGGCGGCAAGCCATCGGAGCACCACTTTATTTTCCCCTTGCAAGGCAGGGAACCAGGCTTGGTTAAGAGACCAAATGTGAATTACCCAACTAAGCCCCGGCACTCGCCAACTGTTCGGTCCGTGCTCATTTCCAAAGCTAAAAATTATTACAAGCCCTGGCTTACGCAACTGCAGAATTTGCCAAACTCAAGTGAAGTTTGCTTTGGTTAAATCCTTCCAGTGCCATAACCAGACGCTGAAATGGCAGCCCTGGGAACCCTACTCTGAGCTGCTCCTTAAGCCGGACAGCGAGTCCAAGGCAGGAAAAGTGAGAATGGGAGCCGGCAGCAAGAAGGGGACTGCAGCAGCACCGCAGCTCCTTTGCC